CCTCCCCAGTGCATAATCCCTTCTTAATTCTTAACTTTTATGGAATTCATAATGTTCTTTCAGTGCCTCTTTGATCTTTTAGTGGAATCCATCCCATTGTTTCTGTTGTCTCTCCCTGATAGCTGCATCTTATCAGCAGACCCACAGCTTGTTTGTAAAGACAAACCCATCATTCCTCCCACAGGGATTGGGGGGGAAATGGATTTTTTTCATAAATGCGCCCGTTCTTTCATTTTTCTTCCCTTTTATGAGGGCTGCTGACCGTCTTGTGCCCTGCACGGCTCTCCACGCCTCTACCTGAAGACCTGACCTGAACTGTGATCCTTCCAGCCAGGACCCCACTGTGAGGGGATGGTGAGAGCTCTGTGTGTCAGCCCTGGTCTGGAGGCTGAGCTGGGAGTGATTAATTATCCCTTTTCCAATGACCTACAAGCAGTGGCTGCTGTAATACATAGCATAAATAAATTCGTGCTAAAGTTATAATCTCGTCTAATAAGAATCCTGGCATATTTCCAAGAAACCTTTTCTGACAAGATTATAGTGATATGCAGCAAGGCCAACAGGAATATGCATCTGCAAGGAGCATATTTCCAAGAAACCTCTGTCTGATAAGATTATAACTTGTGAATATTTGTCTGCAATAAGTGTATTTCCAAGAAACCTGACAGAATTACAACATATACACCCAAAACAGCATGAATATTCGTCTGCAAGAAGAGTATTCCAAGAAACCCCCAAAAAGCCTGAAAACATATAAAAAACACCCTAGGACAGTCGCAATTTGTGAAGCATGGTGAAGCGGTGCTAGCAAGCCCCTCCCTGCCTCACTCGATGCTGTTCGCCTAGTATAGCATCCAACTGATTTTTGCTTGTGGCTTTTTACGATTATATTTTTTTAATAAATTATTTTTATTAATCAAATCGGCTACTCATTTATAACACTGCCAATCCTCCAAGGGCCGTAACACATGTTCTCCAGGAGTGTGAGGTCCCCATAGTCCTGGGATGCCAGTGACTGCTCTGCCTGATCTGACCTGGCCCACAGCCATTGAGAGCTGGAGTTCTCCAGTCACCCCATGGTTTCTTCTCAGACTAGAGGAGATGGCATCGCTCTGGGGGCTGCCAGAGTCTCATCTCACCTGGGAAGCTTTTGGGTGTTTGACACCTGTGGGTGTTTCCCAGGTTATCCTCATTTCTTCAGGTGGTGACCGCTTGCCCCTCACGGCTTGCCCTAAAATGGCGGCTCCTCCCTCACCTGGCGGTCATTATGAGGCGACATTGGGGCTCAGCTGCGGGTGGAAATGGTCCTAAATGGCCTTGAAGTCCTGTGAGAACCGTGCCAGCCAGAAGGTGGCACTACTTCTTTCAAGGAATTGCGGAAAGTCAAAAGCTCCCCGCTGAGCCTCCTATTCTCCAGGCTGAGCTCCCCCCGCGCCCTCAGCTTCTCTTCACCCGACTTGTACTCCAGAGCCTTCACCAAGACATTGCTTCCAGCTGCTGAAGCACAACCCCCCGAAAAATTCGCCTTGTCCGCGAAAAGGGTCCTTGTCCGCGACCCAGGGGGACCCTGTGCTTAAACGAAAGATTTTTTTCGGTGTGGCTGCCTGGGTAAAAGGGAAGGAGCCATTTCAGGCACAACTGAACAAACCTGGAAGCCGCGGATCTTCCCGCCCAAACGGCTCCGCAGCAGCCGGGGTAGCTCAGGGATGGCTCCCCCGGTGCCGCCCCGGTGCCGCCCCCGCCAGGGCCGTGTGTGCCCGGCCCCGCCCCGCAGCCGTGCCCAGGAAGCGGGAGCAGGAAGCTGCGGGGCTGCGGGCATGGCGAGCAGCGGCCCGGCGGTGAGCGGGGAGCCTGCGGGCAGTGCCGGGGCTGAGACCCGGTGCTGCCCGGGCCGGGGGTGCGCAGCGCGGCCGCGTGCCCCTGGCCGGCGGCGGGGGCGGGGCCGGGGCGGCCGCAGTGCCGCTGGGGCCTGGCGGGGGCTCCCGGGCAAGAGCTGTTCGTGTGCTACCCTGCGTGTGCCTTGTCTGTTCCCTCGCGTCGGTTCCTGGCTGCACGGGTGGCACTGTGGCTGCCAAGTGCGTTTCAAACCTTCCCCAAGGGTACGTAGGTTGTACCTACGGCTCCCCAAGGTCATAGGTTGTGGTTTCTGGTGTGGCAGCGGTGTTGTGGGTGAGGCTGCTGTGTCGGTAACCAGCTCTGCAGAGTGCTGAACGCCTCTAATTTGTCCTGATGCACCTTGACCACATCCCTGCTGTCCTCCGCAAATACAATGATTGATTTCTTGCTAGGAGGTTTTAAATGTGCTTTGAATTAACATCTTCGTTTGTATTAACAGAAACTAACACGCACAGTGAGTGCTTCTGGTAAAGAGAGAGGTGTGTGTGGTGTGCAGCTGATAAATAACAATGGTTAATAATTGTTTTGTTAACCTCCAGTGTAAAAGCCACTGCCATGGGTCTCATCGACCTCATATGCACAGCAGCCGCAGCATCCATGGAGAAAAAGATCTCCCAGGCCCATATCCCATTGCTGAAGACCCCAGCACCTGTGATATTGTCAAGGCTACACAGTAAGTACATGTTCTGAGTGTGCAGTGTTGAAATAGATGGGAGAGTGCTCAAATGTGAGACAGGCTGGATATTTTTACAAAGGAAATGTTTTCAGTTTCATTTTCTCCCTGTAGTAGAAGAAGAAAAATCACTTACAGCTGCTATTGTAAATGGAAGCATTTAAAGCAAACTTGTTTCAGTAGGAAATTCTACTCATCAAGGCACAGCCCCACTCTTTTTATAAGGCTTCCAGTGAATGCAATGTGGAATTTGCTCCAGTAGGAACTGCTGGGTGATGCTTACTGAGATGTATTTTTTTCTTTAGGATGCAGCTGTCTCTGGACTGGAGAATACTGAAAAAATTATAAGTAAATTGATTTATTTTTATTTTCTTATTTAAGATATGGACTCCTAGAGCGATGCAAAGAACTGGTAGAAGCAGGATATGATGTTCGACAGCCAGACAAAGAAAATGTGACTCTTCTTCACTGGGCAGCAATAAACAACAGACAGGAGCTGGTGAAGTGAGCTGGGAGTCCCTGTGACAGTAACACAGCGTATTCTGTCATTGTTACCTATAATGACTTTGTTGCTTTTGTACTTGAAAACAAAGGATTGTGCTGCTTGAGAAGAAAAGGGTGTAATTCAAATTTTAATGCACTTATCTTTGTGAAAATGTCACTGAAGTGTAAAGATAGTCTGTTTATTTACATGTGAAATCATGTAGTACATGAAATCATGTAATACATGAAATCATTAGATTTTCCTGGGTTTGTTTCTGATACAAAGATGAAAGCTGAGTTTAGAAGTACCCTGCTAATGACTATATTTTTTCTTCACCATCTTCTTGAAACAGCGTTATTTACTACCAAACCACTTTTGTCCATTTGCTTCTCTATTGAATTTTTATTATTAATTGTTTACTCCTTTAACTATGTTATTTTTAGTATAATGTTTAGCTACTTTATTATGTGTGTTCCTGACCTTACTGTGTTGTTATTACACAGATATTACATTTCCAAAGGTGCGATAGTGGATCAGCTCGGTGGAGATTTGAATTCTACGCCCCTGCACTGGGCCATTAGGTAATGCTGCTTGCACCCAGTAACTGCAAATCTGTCGATGTTCACAGCTGTGGTAGTGTTTTCTGAGATCCAGAGAACAAAGCACTGGTTGTCTGTAGAAAACATAACCTGAAATAACTATTCTGGGAAAACTTCTCCAAGTGTGAAGTCTCCCATTGGACAATCAGTGCTTTCTTCTAGAGTGTCAGACTTTTGCTAGAGTCAGAGGTTTGGATGACTGTTCACAGGAGAAGTTACTGTAGAATAACCACTGTATTCTAAATTAATGCTTTGCCCTTGGCTCATTTATTATGGTGTATATATTTAATATAATTTCCTGAAAAAAGCCATGAGAGTCTGAATTTTTTTTGGGATGCCTGTGAGAATTGTTAAGGCGATGCTTTCATTAAAATACCCATTTTTTTCATCATCTCTGTAGTTTTATTTCACGTATCGTTATAGACAAGGACACCTTCCCATGGTCATGTTATTGTTGAAATGTGGAGCGGATCCCAATCTTATTGATGGGGAAGGATTCAGTAGCATTCATTTAGCAGTGCTGTTCCAACACATGCCCATCATAACCTACCTAATAGCAAAAGGCCAGGTATGTTGCTGATGTCCCTAATGTTGTTTTCTGCTTACGAGTAGCTGCCTGTGTGTAGGAGACATTTCAGAATTAACTGGTGTTTTTCCCTAGATGAAAAGCAGTGACTCTGCACCTATTTTTCTGTGCTAGAAGTGCAGACAAATTTAGATCTTTTTTATATTTGTACATATTATTTTTTAATACTCTTCCCTATTCCTGTCATTCCCTATATCCAGATTCACCTGCATTTCAGCATGAAATATTTATGATTTGATTACAGTTTTGTAACTAATAATATGTGCAGTTCTCCATCAATTGAAGAATGCAGAATAAATGATCAGTTAGGTCTGAATTTTCATTAGAAATTTCTGTACTGTATCTGTGGTAGTTGATGTCTCTTAGCTTATTATCTGAAATTAACAGAATTAATGGCAAGTGTAACAACTTGCTAATAAGAATGACAGGAGAGTTCTTATATGACCTAGACTGATTCTGAGGAGCAATATAGTGTTAGGATTTAAAAGTTTGCTAAGTCTATTTTCTTTCTCATGAAGTTCTCTTTAGGGAGAGTAACTGTTTTCTGGAATGTAGGTATAGTGGTGTATATCACAAGCCTAATAAAGTTGCTGGCCCACCTATCTTCTACTAAAAATATCCAAGTGAATAATTCTTCTAAGAAAATCTGTGCTAATGTAATGATGGATGGAGTCAGGGAATAAGGAAACTTTTCTTGTAAAGAAGGAAGAAAAGTAAAAAAGAGGAAGGAAGAAAATTTAGGTTAGATATTTAACTATGTCTTGAGATATATAATCCTTCTTTGTTGTTTTAATTATCATGGCTTTCTTATTTTCTGTACATCTGTTATGTACAAATATTTACACAAGAAACATGGTTAGCATTGCTTTACAAGATCCTTATTTATTGTATTTCTTTGCAAGGAGGACAAGAAATACAGTTGACATGATTCACTTAAAAATATCCTTATTGGAGTCTCTCCCTTAAAAATTTCCTTAAATGGAAACTCAGAATATTCTGAAAGGAATGATATACAAGACTTGTAGGAGGATAACATTTTAAATGAGTGTTGGCTTCTTGGCTGATATAATTTGATTTCTGTCCGTTTTCTGTTCATTAGTGAAGCTAAGCTAGTTCTATAGCCTTGAATTCCACTGTTTCCTGAAATCACTGGTAATCGCTTGTTATCTTATTCTTAGAACATAGACACAATAGACTTCAATGGACAAACACCTTTAATGTTAACAGCACAAAAAGTCATTGGGTAAGTAGAGAGTAACTGAAGAAGAGTCTATTGTATTGTACTCAAGAAGCAGTTAGGTGAAATTTTCCTTACTGTTGTTTTGTTTTCTTTTTAATATGATATTCCTTTCCCTTCTATTTGTACTAAAATATGAGGTGTTTCAGAGATCAGGAGTTGGGAATAGCTCACTGGATATAGAAAAGAAAGTAAAAGAAATTTCTAGAAGAATTTTAGGTTTGTGGCTGAATCATCTGCAGCCTTATTGTATTTTCTGCAAAATGAAAACAAATGGGTGTGGATGCAGTGAAATGCATTTAAAACAAATAAAATGGGGAGATACAAGCTATGTATGGTGTTGTAGAAGATATAACCTGTGTTATGAACCTCATATTTGTTAAAATGGTAAGGTAGCATGGTCTGGAGAAAAACTCCCAGGGTAGGTCTGGAATTCTAAACATGGATCTATCACCGATGAGCTGGTTCTGAGAAGGCATTATGTATCTGCTGTTGTTTCACAAATGGGAACTCTTGTTTTATAGTGTTCAAAAGTTTCATTTCCAGTCTAGATTATCTTCTGTTTGTTAACTCTCATACTTTATTTTCATCTAGACCAGAGCCCATGAGGTATCTCTTAAAGTTTAACCCCTCTCTCAATGCTGTAGACAATGTTCAAAAGAATACTGCACTGCATTGGGCAATAGTCTCAGGAAATACTAGTGCAGTGGATTTGTTGCTGGAAGCTGGTGCCAGCCTGAACATAAAAAATGTCAAGGTACAATTTCCTTTGTGATACTTTGTCCTATGTGGCATGAATGTGTAAAATGAATGTAAAGGAAAATCACAGTCCTCTCCATGTTGTATGTGAATTACAGCAGGGGTCGGCTAAGAGCAGATGTTCTTAGTCTTTCCCAGAAGGAAGTAGCACCTTTCTTGAGTGTGACTCAAAGTATGGATGCAGAGGTTCTTTGCAACCTTTGTGTAACAAATAGCCAAGCCTTGTGTTCACTCAACAGTAATTGTGTCCTTTGCGCATTCTGCTCCCTCACCCTTTTTAGTTTCATTTTCTTGCGGTGTTTAATTAGTTTCATTTTCTTGGGACCTTGTTTAAATTCTTTTTTATCTCTTATTTTGGCTGTTTTCTGTTTAAAAACGTCATGAGGACTTGGGCAGATTTAAAAAAATATGTTTCTTAGTGTTCAGTCAGACTTGTAAAGACTTAATTTTAAGTGAATGTCCTCCTGTGAAAGCTGATGTTTGGCAATGCCTGTTTGTACATTGAAAAGGTTATCACATATGAAAAGCTTCTACTTAATATTTGTAGAAATTGATAGTATAAATGTTGAGAGTATAGATTCCCATGACTATATAGACATGTTACTGGAGGCAGTCCAACAGATAAATAGGTGCAAGCTATTTGCAAGTATCAGTTTTTAGAACTACGAAGCTCTGATTTGAGCATGTTAGCACTCTGAATTTAGCTTACCTTTGCCATAAAAGAAATAGTGGGGGGAGATGGAGCTGGGAAGTAACTGCCCAGTTAGTCTTGTTTTAACTATATTCATTTCTTGCTTCTGTTAAAAATGAGAGTATTTATGTGTTAAGTACATAAATAAATAACCCTTTCTGTTGTTAAAGGGAGAGACACCGCTTGACATTGCTTATCAAAGTCAGAATCACTTCATGATTTATATGATACAAGAGGAAGAAAGAATGAGAAACAGGAGAAATAATAGGTTGCTGAAAATAATAGAGAAATATGAGGTAATTTCCTGAGTAATAACTAAGGGAAATAAAGCTTGAGCATACTGTGGTTAGTGACATGCAAATTAACAAGAGTAATTTCTGAAATTGTGTGAAATTCTGAAATACCTCACCCCTGCTTTTGGTGTATTGATGTGTCCTATCTTATTTTGAGTCTTTCAGCATTTATTATTACATGAACTGAATACTTTTAGATAAGACCTGCTTAAGTACTTTGTCATATTTTAACAATTATAATTTTAACAGCTCTTTCTGATGTTGGCATCTTCCTTGACATTCATATGGGCCATTGGATATGTCATGGACTTGAGTTCTGATTCTTGGCTTTTAAAAGGAGGTTTGCTTCTCGGCCTGCTATTTGGGATGTCTCTGTTTGTGAGGTTTGCAGCTTTTTCTCTCTGTTTTTGTACTTACTTGTCAAAGGCACTTTAAAAAGTATCTGATGCTTAATTATTTTCAGAGTTTAGTTTCATTTAGTATAAAGGTACCTTCTGAGAAATGGTTGCATGGTGTGTGAAGAGTTTAAATACAGGTACTTTTTAGAATGAATGACTATAGAAATTGAATGTATTTAAGTGTATACAATAATAGTTTCTTGCCACTGAAGGATTTGAAAAAAAAACCCCAAACCCGGTCTGTTTGCTAATTTTATTGTCAGATCGTTATTAACGGTCTGCATCTGGTAGACATGGAGATATCTGCTCAGAAATGTCCTTTATCACAACGTTTTCCTGCTATATTCTGTCAAAGATGAGTTTTAATGAGCAGTCCCATGTTTCTCTGTTCCCCAGAACTCCCAGTATTATCTTGAGTTGTTTCTCACTTTTTTCTCCCACAGTCAGTGGTCACTGATATGACAATGCTGTCTGTGTGCAAATAGATAGATTGGAGTTTTCACCCAGTCCTACAGCACTTTTCTTATATAATATTGTACTGGAACAGAGCACTCTTCAGCTTTATTTTTGTATTGTTAATGCCCTGTATATGGATAAATAGTGCTTTTGAGTGGCAGTTCTTGACTGCTTTGAGAGACTTGAAGTAAACCGTAAATGAAATTTTTACAGTTACAAATAAGATTATTTCTATTCTATGGATTTATGTTTCAGATGTGTTTTGAAAAACATTTTTTTCTTTTAATGTTCTTTCAGGCAACTCATGGGGCTCAAGAATCTAAGGTATCTTCCCACAGCATTTCTGCTAAGTTCAGTTTTTTGGATGTCCATGACCTGGTTTTTCTGGTTCCTTCCTGATATCCTTTTTACTCAAGAAATGCAACTCTCCTTGGAGTTTCTTGTAAATCTAAACCTGGTTGTGCAAACAGTGATGAGCAGTTCCAGATAATTCCAGATAATTCCATGTGACTGTTAGTGTCAGTATTATTAGGTAAGATTAGTTTAATCCCATTGGGAAGGAGCAAAATGACTTTTAAGTTATACGCTGGCTAAAAATCTGTACCTTCTTTTGTCTGTAGATTTTTGTCTTTATAACCTGAACTATTTCATGTGTTACTGGAGTATCAGAGTGAAGATGTTTGTTATAAAATTAATTGTTTCTGTTAGCATCTCCATGTCACTCTTTAGTCTTCCTCGCTGAGACTGTTGTACAGTGATGTATTTTGGCATGTGGTATAACTGGGTAACACCTATATTAATAATAATTTTAAAAGCATCTCTTCTTTCTGAAATGGTAAGCGTTCGATGGTTAGTGGTATTCATGCTCCTGCCTTTAAAAACAACATCCTTTACCTCCACCTCCCTAAAAAAAAAGAAAAAATTTCTTTGTATTCCTGCAAAATAGACTGTCCAGTCTCCCATTTTTATTCACAGGTTACACTGAATCTTTAGTATACAGTGGATTAATTTCTGACATTTACTTTCTTGGAAGAAGCTTTTCACTGATGAGTACAAAAACAGTTTAGTAGTTTGTGCTCTCTTTCCATTGCTCTGCTCTTTTGTTACACAGTGGGTATCTGTTTATTGGTAAAGTTGTATGAAAAGGCCTTTAGGAAAATACTTAGAACTGCATATAATTTTGTAGTAAACCAGCTATAATATATTGCTCCACAGTTTTAATTAATTTTTAATTTAGCCTTTAAATGACATTTTCTCTTGTACTGTTCCAAATTAATATGTCCTTAATAGAATTATTAGGATCAACTTTGATCTGATCAAGTATATTCCTGCTGGGGATTCACGCATATGCTTGTATAAATGGAAATGGTGTTATTCAGTTGTTGTGAAGCTTTAAGGTTTGTTTTATTGGTCTCATCTAAGTTAAAAGGAAAAAATAATTCCACTGGCAGGGATTTGAGTCAGACACTTTGCTGAAGATAGTGAGCATAGCAATATTCTGAAGTCCTAACCATAGCCTGGTGAAATGGGCCAGTGGCTAGGTTTCCATTTCACTGTCCAATCCTATTTCTCATGAATGTGTTTTCCTTCTGGAGCTGGTCACATATCTGAGTGTCTTAAAAGTTTTCAGGATTTTAGTTAGCTGCATTTGTCTGTCAAACTTCCTCTAGACTGAATGAAAATCCAGTCATACTAATTAAGGATTTCTCTGAGCTCAAAAAAAACCAATAGCAGTGCAAATAGACCAGCAGTATCCACAAGAAACATATCATCATTTTGACTTCTAAAATTGTACCCTGCAACTGCATTGTAACAAACACAGCTGGTGTTTGTGCCACTATTTCCTAAATTATCATATTGATTTTAATTAGAACTGTTGGCAGTGTTGTTAGTTCATAAGACAAAACAACCTTGAGGTTGCTATCTTGCATTTTTAAAAATTATATGCACTGAGTGACTGAGGGGTCACTGGAGATGCAGTCCAGCTTGAGCTCTCTGCCTGCTCCTTGGTGGCAGCAGGGACTGTTCTTTAGCAGCCTGAGTCTCAACTTTGATGCTTGAATTGAATTAGTATGAAACTTGTCCCACTCCACATTCTTCTGTTGTTGTACAGAGACAATCTTGACGTGTTTTTCTTCCCCACTCATCTGATACAGAGATGGTTTTAGTTCATGGTGTAAAAACCGTTCCTAATATCCCATTACCTTCAGAAGCATTTAACAGTGTGTTTAGTGTTTTTTGTGTGACAAAAATAGTTTCAGGATGACTTCCAGTTACATTTTTCTGAATGAATATATTTAGTTGCTTTTAGCTAAAACGAATAGGACAAGGTAAGACTGCATGAGAGCCACCTGTTTGAGTTAGGGGTGGGTGCAGCAGCCAAACAAATCTCACAGCTGTCAGAAGCTTTATAGCTGTGCATGTCTGACTGATATTGTTTAAATAAAGTACAAAAGCTTCAGAGGGAAAGAAGAAATCAGATTTGTTTCATATCTGTGAAATAATCAAAGGCAAAAATCTGGAGGACTTTTGAGGACATGGAGCCATATTATGATGCAAATTTATACAGTTGTAAGAGTCTTCCCCAGCACTCAAACTAGGCAGAATATTCCATTTCTCTGATAAGATGGCCTTGGAAGGACAGAGAGGATCCTACTGTCAAAGTGAAAGTAATTTTTTCCTTCTTGTGTCTTGCTTGTAAACTAGTATAAACTAATTTTAGGATATTTTGCTTGTTAGACAAATAATGGTGTTATGAGTTATAAGAATATAGTCCTTAACCTGACTATCACATACCACAAATGTAATTCTTAAAATCACTGTCATGTTCAGCATGATGGGTCTTGTCTATTATTTCTATAAAACCTGGAGTACTGATCCTGGATATATAAAGACTTCAGAAGAAGAAAGGAAGGAGGTAGGAGATTTTTGTAAAAACAAATTGAAAGGTTGATGTGGTGCAACATGTATGTACTTCTGGCTTGTCATCATGTGCAGCTTTGTTAAACTGGAAAGCAGTGAAATATTCTTCCTCAGAGTTTTTAGCAATGTTGTTTAACAACACAGGTCTTGGAGAATTTCTCCTTCTACTGCTTTTTTCCTCATCTTCCTCATTCTGCTATAATTTCCTTGCATCTCTCCTCTCTTTGAAATGCGAGCTTTGGCCAAAGGTTGTACAGACTCACTGGTGTTATCTGTGATATGAATTCTCATAGAAGTTCACTAAAAAAATAGAAGTTTTGCGTAATTTCTGCTCCAGTTGTCTCTGGTTAGAAAGAAATAGTCACAGTGCTATCCTATATATTATATGCTAGTAATTATTTAAATTTTACCAGGCGCTTTGAGGATATGTATAATGGTTTGATTTTTGTTCTTGAACATTGTGCAACTCACATGCTGTTTCCGAACTGTTTTATAGTGGCCAAAAGAAATCATGAGCAGCCAATCAGTAGAGAATTTAGTGTCTGGTCTCCCCAGCCTATGCGTTAAGGAAAGCATTTTGTTTGTGATCGCGTGGCTCTCCTTGAGGTTGTATTTCTTCATATTGCCAGGGAGAATAAACTGCAGTTTTAAGATATTGCCACAGGACTCATAAACATGTCCTTATAAAGGAGCAGACTTGATCTCCCTGAAGTCTGACTGACTATATGAGAGATGCCATCTCATTGTATGGAATATGTAATTCACATAATTTTTTCATTTTGGCAACACAGAGATACTTTTCTGAGCAATCTTGTGTGGATGAAGGTGCATTAGTGTTTATTAGTTTGTTTTTTCTTGTGCTCCTCTTTATATAGCAAGTTCTTATTCCTGTTCATGCTTGGCACTTTAAATACTTAAAAAATGCAGAAGTCCTAATGTAGAACTCTTCATAGCACCTATGGAATTGTGATCCAAGTTCAAGCACAAAATACTTTGTCTTTCAGAACATAATAGCTCTTGCAGAAGCTGGTTGCTTGGACTTCAGAACATTCTGCACATCATGTCTTGTAAGTGGGGCTTTTGTACTTCTGTTCTTTGTGAATCTGCCTTTTACTCAATACTGCCATAAAAAGCCTTTTTCCTCACTGCTTGTCATTAAAGTGTTACAAAAGTAGTTTGTTATATATTGTTTAGATTTCTCTATTTCTTTTATGGTGACAAGAGATTCTTTGAGATTCTTGGACTCTAATCTTAAATTTAAAAAATTGATTCCATCTTTTTTTTTTTTTGAGTATATAGTTCTCATCTATGTTCTGTGATGTGAGGTCATATTGCAAAATGTAATTATGCAAAATGTGGTTGTAACTGTAAGGTGATGCCTTAAACTCTGAGCAAATGCTTCTGCCATGAATGTATTCTTTTCTTTCATCCTCACCTAGGTAAGGAAGCCTTTGAGATCTGTGCATTGCCTTGCTTGCCAAGCATGTGTAGCCAAATATGATCAGCATTCTCTGTGGACTGGAAAGTGCATAGGTGAGAGTGTGTGTTTTATCAAATTTGAAAACGCCACATATTTTAAAAGTTGCGGAGATAACATTTATTGCCTTAAAGAGAGAATACACGTGATGCAAGAATATCCTGTTGATACTGAAGGGGTAGGTGCCCGTTGATAGGTGCCAGAGGGAAATTAGTTGGAAGAGAGAAAAGCAAATAAGATTATTCAGGGGTTGTTAGAGTGGTCACCCTAAGGACACAGACCACACAATCTGTAACTCTTTCTTTGGAGAGGGAGGAAACAGGGGATATGATTGAGACTTTAAAAAAACGAAAGAAAAAAATTTATAAGATGGTGGCTTAAGTGAATACAGAATTATTAGCCAAGCACATTATAGTAGAACTAGGGATTTAAAATTGATAAAGGAAAAAATGTCTCCACATGGCAGGCAGTGAAATTTTAGGCCTTGTTGTAAGGGGTTGCAATCATAAGCCATATCAGCAGGTTCAGAAAGGGATTAGACAAACTTTTTTTGACAGTGTATCCAGGAATAGATACTAAAAGAACCAGACAAGTGTGCGCAGTCTGACATTTTAATGCAGTAGCTGTGGATGAGGAGAATGAACACACAAAGTGGCTGGACTTCTGTGACTTCCTGAACTTCCATTGCCTCTTGTCACTGTTAGGGACAGTTCTGAGTGGAGCAGCTGTACCGCTGAGATAATGCCGTAGGGCGTTTCCATCTTCTTGTGTTCATCTCACCCTCTCTCTTCCTTTCTGGCTCATTACTGGTGATGCTCAGGATAGGAAGGTGATAGCTTCACGTTTTTAACAATGTATTTCTTACCTTGTTTTTTGCCAATAGCTTTTTTCCTAGTGTTAAATGCTATATTTACAATGTTTGCTATTTACGAGGTGCTGAGTCATCCTTCTGATGCATTGTCTCAGAGGTTTGAGCAATACGATTGTAATTTAAAAAAAAACATCTTCATATAACAGTTTTTGTGACAGAGGTTTGGGGTTTTTTTATGTGTATGTTTTCAATTCTGAAGGACACAAGGTCAGACAAATTGAGCAGCTTAGACTTCTCAGTCATATGAGACAGTTTTATTGTGCATGGGAGGGAGTTGTGGTTGCTTAATTAGTTTTCATCCTTCTAAAACAGCTGAAGATACGCTCTGAAGGAGAGACAAATCCTGGTTGACTTTATCTAGCTAATTCTATTATATAAATTGGAATGGCTTACAGGAGAAAGTTGAGAGAGAGATCAGCCTTGCCAAGCTCTCTTGTGGATGGCAGAGATTAAAATAAGAAATGGTTTTGACCCTCTTTTTATTTCTGCTAACTTCAGTGGGAATGCAAGTACTGCTGAATTTTAAAATGTCCAACTTTAAAAAATTATTTTCCTTTTTTTCCTCAATTTCAGGCATTGGGAACCATTATTACTACCTGTTGTTCCTGTTTTTCATGATGGTGACTGGTGTCTGGCTGCTTTATGGAACTTTTCAGTGTATGTATCCATGAATTCAGTTTTATTTTGCTTTCAAACCCCTCTCTGTGTGGTCTTTACTTTTCAGCATTTCATTTCCAGCAAGTGTAACCTGCACAAGTGATACCTTATTTCAGCAGTGATGTTACTGTGTAGCTTAAGTGAGACTGCATCCTTTCTGAGTCTTTGGTCGAATACCTTACTGCGTTTGTGTTGAGCAAGAACAAAGATGCTGCTGTAGTGGGATATCCATTGGAAAATTAAATAGAAGGAAGCATTTTGTTAGAGAGGAAATAGGAAAGCCATGTGGAGAAAGGTCAGGTTCTAATCTGGATGCCCTTTGCTGTAACAAAACAAGTTCTGTAAATAGTTTGTAAATACATTATTGCAAAAGCTTGATTTATTTTTTTTTTTTAATTTGGAAATACCTATAATAAACACAAACTTTTTTTTTTGTTTTAAAGTAATTTAATTCTGAAGAGGAAAAAGTGTATTATCTTATTAACAAATCTGAACTGTTACTTTGAAAAATTAAAAAAATTATTGGAAAGGAGAGGAAAGCCCTTAGAATTTAGTTGCTAGGATGAATTACCATAGCACCAACCTTTAAAAATATGGATGTTTTTCTGTGGATCATGAGCACAGAGTGTAGAGATTATGCAGCCAGAACAGCAAGCAGTCATGCATCTGTGTGGGTGCTTTTACGTGGCAACAGGGTAGATGAAATGTGGTATTTCTACAAGACGTTGCTATGTAATATTCATTTTATGCAAATAGTCTTTGCTCAGCTCTTAAGGGCTTAAAAGCACAATTAACTGATTATGTGTCTTGTCAGATTGGTCCAACCACTGTGCAAGTTTCCTTCAAGATGGAGCCTGGACATACTTCACCCAGACAGTGTCCTGCTCTCCCTGGGTTTCCTACATCTCCTCAGTAGCCTGTTTCCACACCCTATGGGCCTCTGTGTGGCTCACTGTTCAGCTTTATCAGGTAATATTTTCCTTCAGTTTATGATTCTTGTCACATTAAAGCTTTTCCCTGGATAATTTACTCCCATAAAAACTCTGTGCCTGCTCTCCCTGATTATTGTCACAGGAAGGTGCTTCTTTTAAATCTCAGAGCAGACCTTGAAGTTTCACAGGTTCTTGTGCACTCATAATTTCCCTGTTGGAAGCAATAGAATTACAGTCTGCAAATTGTTCCTATAACTGAGTTTGGGTTTACTACTCATCAGAAATTTCAAGCCTGTAAAAAGTTGTATTTAAAGACAAGAAATTTATTTGACTAATATAACTGATATTAATGACCCCAAAACTGCACTAAAGCTTAGCAGCATGGCTATTCCTGAGTTGAAAATTCTATGGCAGAGCTCATCCATATGTCATTAGACTGTATTAAATCCCACTGCTACCGTAAAAACATATGACCTGGATTTTATCTTGTTGAGGACAGTCAAATTTCTTGTTTATGTTTTTCTCAGAGAAAAACTTGGCTATGCAAACAAAATTGAGAAGAGCTGTCTTAAAACACCTGTGAAACAGCTTGTTTATCAGCTCTTGGGAAAGAGATGTCTTTGAAATATGTGTTAAACGTACTGAGCTAAAGGCTTATTTTATATCTTGTTTAGTAAAAAAAAACAAAAAGCAAAAGCTCTACAATTTTAGACATGTACTGCTAAATTTTTGCAGTGTCCAAGACACGGGGATATCATGCTGGTAAAAGATAGAGAGGATATTTACAGTTTAACTACTGTGTTTCATACACAGTGATTTGAAAACGTACTGCTTTATGGCATTTAGTGTCATCGTGAATCAAGGGATCTTTTTCTACCATTTTGTGTGGTAGACTGTAGACAAAAAATCTGAGGAGATTGGTGCTTAACTGTGATAGATTTTATACTTCTACAGACATCCCAATTAAGCTTGCCTTCTCTGGAAGCTGGTGTTAGAGCTTGCCAGGTTCTGTTTTAGCCCAGGAGACATTTAAAAACATACCTTTCGGTCATCAGTGACAGTAGTGGTTACTCATTTGTTAGATATGTCTAGCCTCTTCCCCACTGCTCCCCTCTAATTAGTACCTTTTGGTCTCACCAGAATTTTAATCTGTGATGTTCATGTTGTAAGCGTTGCTTGCATTTTTTTTCCAATCAGATTGCGTTCCTGGGGTTGACCTCACATGAAAGAATGAACATCCTGGTACAGAGAAAATCCTCTAAGCATCCTGTTCCACTCAGAAGGACTCCATACAAGTGGGTATTATTGAATAGAGTTTTTTAAGCATGTTATCTCTTCAGTACTAATTTGTTTCACTGCTTCATAAATGCAAAAACACTGTTCTGGGGGTGAGGGAGTACTGTCCTCGAATTTGTTCATCAGTCTCTGTGTCTGTTGTGTAGGGTCAGAAAGAGCATTACGGTATGAACTGGTCCCTTACTAGCTTCTCTTGCAGTATTTAGCTTTATTAATAGAAGTCGGTACCAAATTTTGCCTTTTTCCTCAGGTATACTAACAGAGGAGATCTTACTAACTTATAAATATTTGAGTTCAACTTAATCTACTCTCATTTGTTAATGTAAAACATGTTGTAAAAGTTCAGCAAAGGAACAATGCTCAACTGAGAGCTGTTTCTTCTCCCTGAGCTGTCTCCCTTGACAGGTTAATATCTTAAGTAATGTCTCATGGTGAAGTGGTATTTTTCATGCTTGCACTCTTCTTTTTTTAGGTTTATTAATGCATATTTTTCTCTTTTTTTCAGCCTTGGATGCTTCCAGAATTTTGCAGACTTTTTTCAGTGCAGTTGCTTTGGTATGTTCAAACCCAACATAATTGACTGGACCAAGCAATACAAACTTTTTCATCTGGCAAAGGAGAAAAATGTTCATTCTGTGTAAAGTTTTGCTTAATTTCTGAGACAGTTGAGCTGAAAACTACATAAAACTGGATATTTTGTTAAGTTTTACAATTTTTTCTGAAGCTGCTTGTTTTTATTTTTTCTTGTTGTTTCAAATATTAAACTTAACTTGTATAAGAAACAGCAGATTTGTATATGGAACAGTCACTGTGTGTCTGTGTATGTATAGTTTGAGCTGAAACAATTTAAAATTTTATGTGAGGAGATGACACAAATATATATATTTTTAAAGGTAAGTTTTTGGGATAGGATTTCAAAGTGATGTTGGGACTCTTTACTTTTCTGGTAATAAAAGACACTTGAATTTGAAAATTAAGGTGAATGTTCATGTTTAAAAACTTAATATTACAATTACATTGTAGTTTTATTGCTTATGTTTTGCAAACCTCTAGTAAGTCTTTGTATTTGAAGAGTTTATATGTAATAAAATAGAGCTTTCATACTTATAAATGTATTTTTGCAGTGTGAAATAGATGCAAGGGATATGTGACCAGTGAAGAGTGGGTGGGCACAAAACCATAAGGAGTGTGACTTTTATGTTTTTCATATATATATGCCCTGTTAGGGTATGAAAACAGGTACGTTTATGGTGGAAGATAGCAATATACATAAAGAGAAGCAATTGTTCCCCACTGCATCTGTAATAGCTAATGTCAGTCACATTCCCAAGAAAAGGAGGGGCTAGCTGAACAGTGTGATATGAAAGTAACAAAGTAGGTAACAATGAAAACCAGCAGGGAAAAAGTTCAAGATCAGGAAATGAAAATCAGATACCATCTAGAACTGGCATCCTAAGTAATGTAGTGAAATGCAATTATTGAAATTAAAAAATGGGGGGGTTAATTCATCATGGTGAAATCCATTTATCTGAAACATTGTAGAATGTATAAGCACAAGCAAATACAAATAAAAATAATGTGAAGCAGTAATTACTTTATTATAGCTTAAAAACAGACAAAACTTACTGTATTCTGAGAAAATGTTGGGTTTTTCTAAAAATACCTCCTTCAGAGAGAGAAAATTTAAAATCCTTTTTAATTGTCTCAAAGCAAATGACATCTACTTGTTATAACACAAATGCCAGCATGTTCAAAACTCAACTAGGAGACTGGTGGAAGTACAGATGAGTTAACATTGTGAACAAAAGAAAGTACAGTCTAACTGGGAGCACCTGGACCCTTCACTCCAGAAGGGATCCCTATCGTAATGGGGCACCATGATTCTAAAATTCCAGTCTAAAATGTGACAAGTACTAGTTCAAGAAGTAATAATGTTCCATGAGGTTCCTTGTCCTTATATACTAAACACAAATTTGAGTCTAGTTTTATCACTGTACCTTTTTAATCTACTCTAAGAATTTTTGAAGATGCAACTCATTAATTTTTCCTGCAAGGTGGAAAATCTTAATCAAATGCTCTAGGTTCTTAGAAGTATGTGGTGGTTAATGTTTTACTTGACAACCGTCACTTGGTGGCATCAGCAGCAGTTTGAGTCTGTTGCATCTATTTCTTCTCATTCACACTCTTTCTTTTCCACTTGAGTGAGGCCACCAAACCCAATTCCTTTGGGACCAAAATTTTTTGCATAGCAAACTGCAAAAGAAGGAGGGGGGGTAAATGGCACTCTGAAGGCTCTCAGAGGTAAATGTCTTTTATTTTTCATTTCTAAATTACTATCAAATCTAAGTTGATAAAAAGGAAGCAAATTTGAAATAGTGTATTTCCCATAAGTTTATCCAGACCTTAATAGTGAAACTGGTATCACATATTTGAATTACACAAAAGTTGAATCTGCTGATCTCATAAAAAATTAAGAAACTATACAGATCTAAGTAATATTTTCATTAAAACTACTTTCCTGTCTGAAAATGCTCAGTAAAACTTGGTCTGAGGAGTAATACAGAGTAAGCCAGAGATTTTTAAGGAGAAGAACTTGATCATAATCCAGAAACTATTGATGCGCATTTAAGTAATTCCATTTGAACTCTATATTCATTAGTGTGTGCATAGTTATTTATCACAACTCTGCTAAGAGGTAATGGTGAGCATATTTCTCCAAATATGCCAATTTGATCCACTTTGGGTTGACAGACTGTACGCAAAATCACAGAACTCTGGTATTCTTTTTAAGGGTTCTCTATAAAAATTAGCTTTGGATATTAAAGCTTTGCCTAATTTTTTCCCCTTTAGCTATTTCTAGAAGTCAGGTGAAGTCTGTGACCTTTCTGAATCTGAGAAGAACATCTAGATGTATAATTTATCATTTTTGCATTATCTTCTGTGCTACCAACGCAATGGAAATATCTTTAAATTTTACTGTCAAGAATTCTGATTTGGAGGACTAAAGATCTGTATCATTGTGGATTTTTTTTTTTAAGTGAGTGAGACTGTGCAGGTACAAGAGCCTGCCCAGCAGATATGGTCAGTGCTCTGTTAGAAGGTCTGACAGATTTGAGATGTCACATTTGTAGAAAAATCATAGCTTTAAAATTTAAATGTTAATAGTAGAAGTTGCAACTGCAATGTTACCATAGCACTTTGCTTTGAGAAAGTTGTTAAAAAAATAAAATTTCCTGGGGATGTTAGGTGTACAGCAAGGTAAATTGCAATGGCAATCATAGGTCTAAAGAGACTAACTTTACATTGACTGTACCACAGTTCAGCTCTCTGCAACTCTCACCTTTACAGTAGAGCTCTCCATCCTTGTCCGTAACATTCGTGGATTCTAAACTCTTCCCACAAATAGCGCAGCGGAAGCAGGTCTTGTGCCAAGGCTGAGCAAAGGAAGATAATTCATTGTGTGGCACAGAAAGTGCACAGCCAGCAGATACAAGGAACAAAGAAGTACTGCTTTGTGTGGTGTGGAAAGGTTAAATTAATTTGTTGATGCTGTGGCTTCCATTTTAAGTCATTCTGGGTTAGCCTTTTTAACAACAGTTACATTGTCTAATATATCTTCAATTGCCACTACAAATAAATGTTTATACCCAGAGATGGAGGAAGAGCCACCTTGTACAGTAATCTGTGCTTGGTCCTCAGACATCAGTAAGAAGCAAAAAGTTGAAAAATGTTTACAAAAAGTACAAGACTTTAAACCTATTGTAGCAATTTGCAAATTCATCCTCATATTTTCTTTATGAATGAAAATTTGAATTATCTAAGACCTCTTAGCTATAGTTTCTCACCATTATAAAAATGGCGGAGTTTTTCTCCTAGCACTGAAGTCAATACTTACTTTCCCTCCTCCCATGATCTTCTCCGCAGCATACACTGATTTGCCACAACGGGGACATTTATCCACATCTACCATCTTTTTGGCAAACTTGGAAGCATTAGTTGGTGTTGAAGGGCGAGCAGGCTTTGGTGACCCCCTAAAACAGAAGTTTTAAAGCTGCTTGAAAATGTTACCTTCTTTAGAAAAAGTATTTCATTATTTTTTAGTAAGGCATAAAAAAATACTAAATTTCTGGTCTCTGACATGCAAAAGAGAATAAAAAAAGAAGAAAATTGAAGTATTCTATTGAATTCTGTGTTGTGTGATTGAGAAGCTGGCAGCAGCCACATGCAGAAAAGATTATATTTAATAAAAATTGAAGTGAAAACCAGTTTTCTCTCATTGAGAGGCAAGAGGGAAAATGGATGAATGGAGGAAAAGATGTCTCTAGTCTTTGTAACTGGTTATCTGCTGGTACTCATCAAACTAAAAATAAAAATTCAGATTTTTCATGCTGTAATTTCATTAGGCAGTGAAATATTTGGACAGGGAATTGCGATTCTTACCTGGCCTGGGGTCAGGATGTCAGAAAAGTAGCTTTGTTTTTTATTTCTGAGCTTTGTGCTTTATATCTTTGTGCATAAAGCCTTTTGCAGAGTTATTTCTGAATTATCAGACAGTTGGACTGCAACAGGTCATATCCACAGGATGCAACATTTTTCAGTGCAGAACTCTGCCCCTAATGGATTTGTATGGTACAGGAGCTACAGTTTAATACATCGTTTAAGCTTTTATTTCCTACACAGCTTATTGGTTAATTGGTTTCTTTATAGTCAGACCACCAGAAGGAAGAAGCATCGTTGATTTAGAAATGTGCAGCTTTGAGAATTGCAGGAAAATCCTATAAAAATGAACTGTCAGAGCCAATTATGTGCTTTTGGAAGATGGTATCCCATTAGAATTTCTTTGTTCAAATACATTCTTAGTGTGTTTGTAAGTGTTATTTGAACCACAGGGAGGATTTAGAAATGTTATTTCCCGCATTGAGAGGAGAACTAACAGTATGGGGTAATGTGATTATTTCTCTAAGAGTAAAACGTTAACTGTATTTTAGCCTCCAACAGGAAAAAAAATCTTTTTCTGTGGTGAATGTGACTTTACCACTGTGCTGCAAATGGCAGATTACAATTGCAGTGAGTATTTACATGTGTGGTGGCATATAAAGGCTGTTTCTGCAGAATAATTGCCTATTGAAGGAGGAGATAATTTGAAAGCAGACTTAAAGAGATTGAACATCATAAAAAACTGTAAATTACTGTGTCCATGGAGGGAAAGGGTATAGGAAAGTCTGCTCTGTTCCTTATGCTGGATGTTGTTATGGAAACAGAATAAAACATATAAAACACCCTGGTAAGAGACAAGTAGGACCAGAAAATCATTGGGATTTAACTCACTGCTGAAGATTCAAGCCCAGGTGGTCTCCAGTGTCAGTGCTGAGGCATCCAGCCCCTTGTCCAAAGCCAACACCTTTGGGGCCGTATTTTCTCCCATAACAGGTTTTGCAGTAGATTTCAGATTCATGAGCTGCTACGGTGGTGCTGTCCAGAGCCTTCCTGCAAGCCACTGAAAACAGGGAGAGAGAGGCATGTAGCAGCATTTGCCTTTTCAAATTTGAATTTGTGTGTTTAAAATAATTAGAATTAGTGCTTGTTTTTTGTTAGCTTTAAAAATATGGGGAAAGGAGCCAGTAATTATAAAACTTGTCAGTGTAAAACTTGACTGGGCTGTTGCTGAAGTAAGGGGGAGGTGCATGTGCATGCACAAAACCTGTTATTCTTTCGCCTCTCTGAAGTTATCCTGTAACCCCAGGGAAATCTGGATCTGTGAAGCTTAAAATGGACTTGAGATAACCATCCTCAACTCCCAAACCATTAAAAGGTGGGGGAAAGAAGGTTGCAGGGACATCAATGCTACTGTGCATCTGGACTTTTCAAAATACTTGCTTTGAGTCTGTGGTGGCTTTCTCAGCTCAGCCCAGGCTGTTTTGATGTGGTGTGTTTCTGAAAGAGGCTTTAAAATCGACACCATGTCTGGAGTCAGGCCAGACATGTTGGGGTTCTTTTATCATTACTTGTTTGTTGGAGCTGTGGCACTAGGGCAAAGCAAATGTCAGATCTGTCAGACTTCCTCTACAATGTCAAGACTGTGGATGTAGTCATTCCCAAACAG